ACCAGTTCTACCAAAAAAAAATTACCACCAAAACTCCCCACTTCTTTTTCTGACCTTTTTTTTGCTTTCAACCTTTGAAACTATAAAGCAGAGATTTAACGGCTTGGTCTGGCACAGAAGTCGTTTTGTGGAATGACCACACTGCACTCCTGATCTAAGTTCCATTGGATGTTTTCACTGCATGAACTAAAATAATAATGTCTCCTTTTTCCAGTTTTTGGAATAGTCTCAGCAATAGGTCTGTAGTTTAAGGACTTCTGCTTACAAGATCAAGATAGTTTTGTGTGTTTCCAAAATAGACTTCTTTGTTTTTTTTTTTTTTTTTCTTTTACAAATCACATTAATGTTTTGAACTGGTGTAAATACCAGGAATATCACAGGGACCTGGTATCCGCACATCACTAATGTACCTACCACTCTACACCCTGGCGTTTAAATGGTGAATAATATCCAGTCAGGATAAGAACTTAGAACTTCTGTGTAATTTTTTAAAGATGCGTGATTTCTAAAATAAACTTTTTTGTATATAACGATAATTTAAAGCTAGTTCATTTTTTTGGGAGCTTGCTTTGAATGTTTCCATATTTGAACATGAGTTCTCAAACAGCAGTTATGACTTTGGACTGGTACTTTTCACAGTTTCTTTAATGCTTTTTTCCAGAAGTTAGATTTTTGTAATTTAATCACCTTTAGCTGTGTATCTTTGTTCTTCTACTCTCTATGAATTTAAAAACTTGAGTGTAATTTCATTTCTTTTGATCATTCAGGGAAAACTACCTTTTGCCTTAAACTGTGGTTTCCCTTAGTAAGGGCAGTGTTGGGGGAGAGGAGGGTCCAGTCTCAGCTCTGTTACTGACTTGTTAAGTAGTGGGGCAAGTCGTTTCTCCATGGGGCTACAGCTTCCTTCTCTGTGATTAAAGAGCTTAATCAAAATCAGCCCCAACATGCGCTTCCATCAGTAAATCTCTTTTTTTTTTTTTAACCACATCATGATATAAAGAGATTTGGGAGAAGGGGGAGGCATTTACTTTTAGGGGAGAGGTTTCTGTTTCTCAAAATACAGCAGACCAGATATTCTGCGAACCCTGTCAGTACAGACCTAGATAGAATTTATTTTTAATCTCCAAATAGGTAGTTGAGCTAGCAGGAAAGTGAGGGAATTCCTGAGAGGCAAAAACGACCAGAAAGCACAAATCCAGAGGATTGACAGTGACAGAGCCGCTGGTTGCACTGAGGACATTTGTCAATCCCTTGAAGCCTAGTGATTTCTGAGCTCTGAGTCTTCACAGGATGGGGACTTTTATCAAGATCCAGAAAACCCAAAACCTGAAAGGTGCCCCCCTCAGTGCAAGGATGCACTGGACAAAAACCCTGTCTCAGAGAAAGAGAGAAGGAACCTGCCTGGCTTTGTGTGGGCTCAGGTTTGCAGGGAGGGGTCTTCCCTGAGAATTCGCATCCAAGCTGTTCCTCAAGTAAGGCTGGAATAGTTCACACTACTTATGTGGTTTAGAGAAGAGCAAGCTGAGAACTGAAAGCAACTCCAGTTGGTAGTGGCCACGAGTGCCTGACAAGCACAGATTCCCTGGGAAGAGCACATCTTCACTCGCAGATGAAAGCTCTGAGAACCGTGGGTTCACGATCAAGTGCACGGGGAAACAGCCTCCATGAGGAGAACCAGCAGAAACATCCGTGAAGGTTCTTAGCCACCTTTTGGCAAATGCACTCCACTTTCTGGCTGCTCGCCGCACAATGACTGCTTGCCTGCGGCATTTCTGCCCTGGTATTGCTCTCCCTGTCAACATTCAGCCCTTTGTCTTCCAGCTTTATGCCCACTGTACACCCACAGCGTTTCCTTTGCATCTTTTTTTTCTTTCAAGTCTTGCTCTGATTCCTTTTCCCTCTCAATTTGGGGATCAAAATTCAGGTTATTAAACTGAGTTGTCACTAATAATTACAGTAGCTGCAGAATCCCAGTACTCCTGTATTATCCCAACGTTAGAGTATTTAGATGAATTTATTGGCAATTTATGAAATTCTACTTTGACCAAAAAAGCTATTTTTGAGTTATCTTGAAGAGGTTAAAATCTGCCAGATTAATCAGATGATTTTAAAGCATTGCAGTCTGAAATTTCCTGCCATGCATTTAATGTTTTGGGCCTTCTAAGTCTGGTGTTCGGCTGTCCTTTAATAAGTCAAGTACTGAGCACCCAGTGTTTGAGTGCTACCCCTCAAGGAGCTTGATCGCTCAAGTCCACATGAAAACAGTACAAAAGCATAACGAAAGCAGTCTGCCTGCCTGCACATTTGTTGCGAGCGATAGAAGTGAACACACTAGGTTCTGAAAAGAATTAATCCAAAATACTGTTCTTGGTAGCATATTTATCAAGAGAAGGGGGAAAATTACCTCATTAGAGTCGCCCCAACTCGGTTCTCTTAAACTCTAGCTGTCTCAACCTTCAGTTGGCGGGATGTTACGAAAGCCACCCAATTTCCTGGAATAATCAACTCTTGCAATATTTGTACACGTAAGAGACTCATTTGCGTTAAGAAGTAAATATGAGTGGATTGCAGCAAAATAACTAGGCCTTTCATGCGGAAAAATCGTAGCAGGATCAAACACCAGAGAGTCAAGCCCCTCATTCCCAAAATACTGCACTAGGAATCTATGTAGGAGTGAATCTTTAATTTCAGGGCCAAATCCTATCACTTTTGTGTCTTAGTTTTGTTTTTTGGTTTGGATTGTTTTTCCTAAAAAAAGACATGCAAATTACAGCATTCTAATCTTTATTGGAAACTTTAGGCTCCACCCTTCAGTACTGGGAGGAATCAGTAGCAGAGTTTGCCAAGGTGATGGGAAGGGTCCAAACTTGAGTTGGTGTGAAGTCTTGTTCTTTTCCAAGAGACGAGTTCAGGTTCTGTCTCTCACATCAGTGTGTGACCTTGAGCAAATTTGTCCATCCTTTTTACTTTTTTTCAAGTGTATACAAAAGTCAACAATACGATAGAAACAATGGTTGCCAGGGGGTTGGGGGAGGGGAATGAAGAGTGACTGCTAATGGGTATGGGGTTTCTTTTCGGGGTGATGTTCGGAAATTAGATAGTGGTGATGGTTGCACAACTCTGTGACTAAACGAAAAAACACTGAATTGTACTCCTTAAAAGGGTGAATTTTGTGGTATGTGAATTGTATCTTAATAAAGCTGGTTTTTTTAGTTCACTGTCAACAGTACAGTACAATGAATCCTCATGTACCCATCACTCAGACGCCCCGATTTTCAACTCATGGCCAATCTTTTTATCTATACCTCTATCCACTTTCCCCTTTCTTGAATGATTTTGAAGCAAATCTCAAATTTTATCTGTAAATATTTCAGTATATATCTCTGAGAGAGAAGGACTTTTTAAAACACAATCATAATATCATTACATCCAAGTATATATATATGGAGGCATCAAATTTAGGTCTCATAGATTCCCACTCTGGAAACGTGAACCTCAGCCGTAGCTCAACAGTGCTTGCGTCTTCCTCGTCTGAGATGCTGCGTGTCCCGTGCCCACCAACACAGAGGAACGGGTAGAGCCAGAAGAAAGCAGGAGCGAAGAGGCACACCCAAGAAAAATGTCCAGATTCACATTTAACAACACAAAAATCGTCTGCTATCTCGTAGTGCCCTTTGCCTTACAAATGTCACTAGCTATATGTGTTGCAGTAGAGCCATTGTGATGATTTGTCTTATCTGGAAAGACTAATAGGATAAAATACTTCTGTTAGTCCAGGCTGTCATTCATAACCTCAGCCTCTATGACTCATTGCCCTTCATACGAATCTGCTTATTTTCCTTAAATGGAGCTTGCTAATTCCATCTTTTTTTTTTTTTTTTTTTTTCCATGTTCATGGTGTGGCAGCCAGGAACAAGCTCTGCCTCCATACTGGACCACCCCTGCTTCTCATATCCGGCCTTCCTCATGAAGCCTTCCCTAAATTACCCTCCTCTTCTCCCATTTCTGGCCTCCTCTCTATGGATCTCCACTTTGAATTTGTTGCTAAGTCAGTTTGTGTTCATTCTGTGGGGTCATTGTTCCCTACCTGTTATCTGTTCCCATTCGCAGCACGTCAGTTACTTGGCCCCGGAAGTTAACTTCCAACAATGATAACAATTTAAAATATGTCTTGTCTCAGCCAGAAATCAGTCAGCTATGTCCATTGGTAAATCCTTCCGGGGGCTCAGACTTGAGGGGACTACACATGGGAGGACCAACAGACAAGACAGTAAGTGCTGTCGTCGCAGGAAGAGAGGGATGAAAGAGACAGCTTGTTGGAGATGAAACTTGAAAGCCAGGCTTAGAAGGATGTGTACCAGTTTGTTTAAATGAAATCAAAATGCAAACGTGTTTAGCAAGGAGTCTGCTCCCCTGTAGGTCCTCTCTGTATGTTGAGTCTGAATTTAGGGAAAGTAAAAGACTTAGCAAGTAATGCTGAACTGTGTGAATGGGGGGTGGTGAGATTTAAGAGAGAATCATAATTGTATTGATATGTGCCCAGCATAGCCCTAGTGCAGAGTCAGCACTCAGAAAATGTGCATCGTGAAATGTGAGCAAAGACCAAGAGGTGGGCCTGGGGGTCAGAGCAAGGAGAAGTGTGCACCTGAGTGGGAAAGATATGGTGGGACTAGATCCTTTAAGACCTTCCCCTTGACTTGTTTTCTCCTGGCTGTTGCAGGGCAAGCTTTAGAGAGCAGGAAGGAAGAAACACTGACCACTATCAGAAATTTGGTCTCATGGCCTCTAGTTAGGGAAATGAGCTTGGTCTGTTTGGTGGGAGTTGTTCCACAGTGTTCGAGAGACAAGAATGCTGTGCATTCATACCCTGAGCTTCTCAAAGTAGGAACTTCATCCTACAAAGCAGAAGAATGGTTTCCTTTTCTTCTTTTGTGGTTTCACGGAGCAAATATGTGACAATCTACTTATAGACAAAGTGAGACGTCAGGCGTTGAGTGAGTGTGGGCTGGATTTCTCGTCTCCCCTCGTTCATCCATTTCATTTTACTCTTATCGTGCTTTCCAGAAAGTTTGCCTGCTGGGAGAACCGTTTTGACAATTTCCCGTGTTGTCAGCTCCATAGAATTCAGTTTCTGAGAACCAGCCAGAGGCATGCAGTGACATTGCATAATCTGCCTCTGAACCGGAGATATCAGCTGTGGCGCTCAAAGGAGCTGTTGCACACCACCAACATGAAGGGAGTGAGCATCATGGATGGTGCGCCCAAGGTGAGTGATGGGGCTGTCTGAATGGGCAGGGGGTATAACAACCTGTTGTGGCTAAGGAAAGTGACTGATTTGAGTTCTGAGTTGCTAGTCGAGTCAAAGGATGAATACTAGTCACATGTAAGTTTGAGATGGGAAAGTTTCATGTAAGTGTAAGTGTGGAAAATATATGTGCTGTAAAGCTCCTTACCAGTTTGATTCAGAGATGGGTGAAAATTGCTTTCTAGCAGAAACCAGTTTATGTGGTTGATAAGACAACCCATTCCTTTGTCTCCATTCACCTTCTAACAAATTTCTTGAGCAAGACTCGAGTCTCTGCCTCAGCCCACCCTAACCTCTCCTGTCTCTGGACCCCGAAGACAGTCCTTGTCACTCCCAAGTCTCCTGTTTGATTCTGTGCTGCTTTCCAAGAGCAGAGCCCAGACCTCGGCTTGAGCCTCCTGTGCTGAGTCCACAGTGGACATTCCCTATGCTGTTTTCACGTTGACTTTTGTATTGATATGTGTGAGTGGAGCTCAAGTCTGTGACATGAATCAAAAAAGAGTCACTATTTAGAAAGTTGAAATGGTTACCAAAAAAAAAAAATTTACGAGGACACAAGGAAAGTGAAGCTCAAGAGTTATCTTGCTATACTTTTTTAAATTCTAAGTAGAACAGGAAAAAAGGAAATGAAATAATTACTAAATGGGGAGTTTGCTTATATGAATTAAATATAAGTTATTTATTATCACAGTAATAATAATAGGTATTACTAGTGGAATTTATGGCTGAGTAACCCATGACATCCTCTTACATAGGTTGTGTGTAAATATCTCAGCTACCCTAGAATTTTGTAGCCAACTATTTACTTTGAAAATTTTTAAACCATTGGAAAAATTGAAAAAAATAATTCAGTAAACCCCTGCATATCCTTTACCTAGATTCACCAATTCCTGGCACTTTGTCACACTTATGTACATCTATTTGTATGTATTTAGACACAGGCGCACACTTCGTTATTGTAGTGGTGTTTTGTTTTGTTTTGCTTTTTGTGAGGAAGATCAGCCCTGAGCTAACATCCATGCTAATCCTCCTCTTTTTGCTGAGGAAGACTGGCCCTGGGCTAACATCTGTGCCCAGCCCATCTTCCTCCACTTTATATGGGACACCGCCACAGCATGGCCTGACAAGTGGTGCCTTGGTGCGTGCCCGGGATCCGAACCGGGGCCGCCAGCAGCAGAGCGTGCGCACTTAACCGCTACGCCACGGGGCCGGCCCCAGTAGTGGTTATTAAATCATTTGAAAACAAATTGCAGATATAGTGACACTTCTTCCCTAAATAGGTCAACTTGTGTCTCCTAAAAACAAGGACATTCTCCTACACAACTCCAATATCATTAACATACCCAAGAAAATTTAACATTGAATTAACAACGTCATTCTAATGTTCAGCCCACATTCACATTTTCCAAAAATATCCTTTCTAGCTTTTTGGGCTGTTGCTATTTGTTTGGGTGTGTGTTTGTTTTTTCCAACCCAGGATTCATTCCAAGATCACGCATTGCATTGTTTATCTGGTCTCTGTTGTCCTTAATCTAGAACAATCCAGTACTTTTTATTTCTTTCATAACATTGACATTTTTTCCTGAATATCCCAGGTTTTTTATGATCTAGACTTCTTTTTATTTATGTGCCACTTATTCTGCCTAATTTCTATAGCACTTTACAGTGTGTAATTCACATGTATGTGTGTGTATAACATGTGTTTGATATTCCGAGCCTCCCCGCGAAGTCCTATTATCAGTATTATACAGATCCTAATAGCTGACCCTTACTGTGCATGCGCCAGGCCCAGTGCTGAGTGCTCTACTTGCATTTTCTCATTACATCCTCACAACATCTCCGTGAGGTGGAGGTGTTAATCTCATTCCCATTTTACAGATGAGGAAAGTAGGCTGCGTTGACTTGCCAAGGTCATACGCTAGTAAATGGAATGCCAGGAGTCAAACCCAGCAGACTGAACCCAGAGCCCCAGCTCTTAACCAGCTGGCTATATTCTGACTCGTAGGTCAGGAGTCAGCAAACTCTTTCCAGAAAGAGCCAGATAGTATTTTATGCTTCGTGGGCCACCTGCAATCTCTGTTGCATATTCTTTTTTGTTTTTACAACCTTTTAAAAGTATAAAATTATTCTTAACTCTAGAAGTGGTCATGTGGATTTGGTCCACAGGCCATAGTTTGCCAGCCCGTGTCCTAGACCAGCAACGTCACAGCTCATACAGGCTACCCCCGCCCAGTAACAGCAGCATCAGGGCAGGAACCCAAGTCTTCGACTCCTGGTCCAGAGGCAGCCTCAGTGCGTGGTTTCTTGAGTATCTGTACAGAACTGTCAATGCACATATAAGATAATATACTTTTTTAAAAGTTTTCCACAAATAGGAGCAGTCACTGAACAACTGTGGAACTTCTTGCCTTTTACAATTAACAGTACATAGTACAGTTCCATTCATTTTAGCACCATTGATCTACCTCATTATTGTTAATGCCTACATTGTTGTTTAATTGCTTTTTATTAAATGGTAACACAATGCTTTAAGGGGTCATACCACCTAAATGGTCCTCGGCTTTGGTGCATTTGACTTTAAAGCAACCCTCACTTTCATTCGGGGCTGCCCCAGATCACCTTTCATGCCCTGAAGTTGGCCTGTATATGTTGGATGGTGAACCATGACTCCCCTTTCAAGCTGTTCCCTAGCGTGGCTGCTTGCCAACCAGCAGTTCCGCGTCAGGAGAGCTTCCAACTCCGTGCATGGCAGATTTTGTGTAATCGACTGATTTTCACTAGGTTTTCCCTAATTATCATAAAACAAAGAGAAAACTGAAAAATAAACATGATGATGTTAGTGATAGGAAATGCTTGCCTCAAACAGTACAGTTGCAACCAAGGTCAAAATCGTTAGGCATGGTGAACGTGGTAAATCTAACATCATGTTCATCGGCTCACTGGACTCTCCATGATTGAGTCCACGTTCACTTCCATTCAAGAAATGCTAGAAGATTTGGTCCAAAAGACAAGGTGAATAAGTTCATAAGAATATGTAAGTTCTTTTTTGGGTTTTTGGTAGTTTCAAAAGTGACTTATTGATGAAAAATAGAGTCTGTATGTACCTTAGTGATTCAGTCCGATTTGTTGCAAATTGTGTTTACTTCCGAGTGTGTGTGTGCGTGCACATCATTAGAGGTGATATTGAAATTAGCATCTTTGTGCAAAGACATCTTTGTCTCCATGGGGTCAATGTCCAGGAATTGAAGGAGGGTCACTGTGTCACTTCATTTGTGAGTGTGGAGCAATTTCACACTCTCCTTATACTTTTAGCAGTTCTGAGGTGGTAAGCAAGACATTTTAACTCAGCCTTTGTCGAAGAAGGGCAAGTGGGATCATGTGGGGTCATGTGCAGAGAACTTACCATGGCCCACAGGCCCTGCCTGATCCCACTCCCACCAGCCCCCCTACCTCAGTTCCTTCCCCTTCTCCCCTGCTGTTCCTGGCCTTGGAATGCTCCTCTCTCATTGTGGCTGCATCACGTGGGTCCTTCACCCAAGCATCTCCCCCACCTAAGGCTTCTCTGGACCACCCTCCCCTTCCACCCCACCCCATCATTCTCCTTGTCCATCTTGTCTTCACTTAACAAGATCTGAAATTGTCTTTCCTGTCTGTTTGTCATTGTCTGTCTCCTCCTCTAGAAAGTCAGCTCCGTGAGCAACAGACCTGGGCCTGGTTCTTTGGTGCTGCATCTCTAGTACCTAGAGCAGTGCTTGCACATAGTGGGTCCTCCATAAGTGCTTTGTGTTGGTGTGTGTGAATGAATGGGAGGGTACAGGCAGTGCAGACAGAGCCCTGGCGATACAGCCCTGCCTCGAGGACAGGAACAGCCCTTCCTCTCTGTCAGACGTCTGGAGACAGAGATTGTCCCTGACTCTCAGCTCTCTAACCCCTACCTGGCCCCAGCCTGACCTGCCACTCAGCCGACTGTTAAGAACTGGCCCCTCTTTCTCCTGTGGTCAGACGTTGCCTTAGATCTGAACCTTTGCAATTGAAGTCAAGGTCACAAGGACCTGTGGCCTCCCTCGGACCTTGTCCAGCAACTTCATCCTTTCACCCAGCTCACGGCACAAAACAACCTAGACACAACACCCAGCTTGAAAACACTACTCACTGTCCATCGTTTAGCCATTCACCCAACACATAGTTATTTGGCTCTGGGGGTTGGAGTGATCGAGACAGAGCTGATGTTCCAGTGGCATCAGAAAGTCAGTAAGCGAGTAATGGACACAATGATTTCAGGTGGTGATAACTACCGTGAGAAAAATAAAACATGGTGATCTGATAGAGGTGATGGACAGATAAGGCCTCTCTGGAGACCTGAATGATGGGAAAAGCATTCCAGGCCAAGGGAGCAGCAAATACAGAGGCCATGCAGTAGAAATTTCAGCATGGTAGAGTATCCGTAAAACAGCCAGAGTGGTTGGAGCACAGTAAACAAGGGGGGAGAGTGGTCAGAAATGAGATCTAGGGGGTCAGCAGTGTCCTGTTCACATAGGGCCTCGCTGGCCCTGTAAGAACTTTGAAGTGCATTCTAATTGCAGAGGAAGCCACTGGCCTATTTAAAGCCGGAGATGACATGACTGATCTGTGTTTTTAAAAGGTCACACAGGCTGCTGTGCGACAAGTGAACTGTGGGTAGGGCAAGAGCAGAAGCAGGGAGAGGGATTAGGAGACAAGTGCGGGGGCTTTGTTTTCCACTTTGGATAGTATTGTGGTCTTCTCAGTGGACGCGAGAAGAATCGTTTGCTCTGTCTTTTGAAAAAAATAAAACTTCTGATGTTTGAGACTGTCAGGGGGTGTGAGCAAAAATGGAATAGTAAATAAAAGTGTAAATAGCTTTTATTGAACTATATGTGCTATATACTTTTTTTTTTAGACACTGACATTTGTTTTCCACAAACTTTATTTCCATTTTCTGT